GAAAGAATTTATGAAGTAGTTACTTATCAAAGTAAGGTTTTTTTTTGCCTGTGTCTGGAAGGGGCACTATCATGCCAGGATCTTTTTACTGTGTCAGAATATCAGATTGAATTACTGCGCCTTATCATTTGCTTCACTTTAGACTGAAGGAGGCTGCTGTTGCACCATTCTATTGCTAACTCTCGGCTTTTTTAAAAGCCCTGTATAAATGTGTGAAGTGTGACATCTGCTCTTGTGTCCACTTTTGGAAAGGCTTTTTAGCATTTTGGGTTCCCCTGCCTCCATCGCGTTTTCTCATTGTGTTGTCTTTCCAGCAGTTAAAAAAAGGAATACTGTCCATGAAGGCTTGTTGTGCATGAAGCACACCCCAGAGTGAGATTTTCTTTAATCTTGTGGCAGTAATGATCTTGCTGGTATGATGAGTGAACAAACATTTTCCAACCAAAGTAAGTTTTTTCTTACAATACAGCAGCCATATAATTGATAGACCATTTGTAGGTTTGTTTGTAGACTTCTCCTAGATGTGTGATTATGCAGCCCTGTGGTACAAGAGAGAAAGTGAAAGTGAGGCTATTACACCTTAAAGAACTTATTGAGAAGGGAATGTGTAGCAGATGCAACCAGAATAAGTTCAGCAATGTCAGGGGATTATATGAGTGGATGTGGGAGAGCTGGGTTGAAGGTGGGGTGATTTCTTTCAAAATACTGTCATGTGATCTTTGTGCATAATTAGCAGTGTTTAGGGTAAAGGTACAGATGGTGAGGGTAAACTAATTAACTGCGGCAGTGTCTTTGGGCTGAATGCTGACTCTCTTTCCTTGCAAGGGCTTCAGGCAGACTTCAGTGCCATCCTGGCGTGAAATATGATTGTACAGCATGGTCACATCCATGATGACCAGAATGAGCTTCGTGTAGTTAGTTTTGATAGTACTGTAGAGAGATCTTCTTCAGAATCCTTTGACTGTATAAATTTGCACTGGCTGTCATGGGTGTTTCACTTCTGGTCACAATCCATGTCAGTCATAGTGTGGAATAGAAAAATTGGTATTCTTAGTTCAGGATGTATCTGCTGTGAAACCCAGTGAAGTCTTTTGCTGTTGCTTTCCATTCAGTGTCTAGGTAAAGTAACAGTATCACAGCTGTCACTTAAAATAACAATCTTTACATTCAGGCATGTTAGAGGTATTTTAGGAACCAAATGTAAAGACGGTAATGTTATTTTGTGTATGTACTTCACAGGGGATCTGTGCATGCCACTGAAATTAGGCATGGTAATGATCCAGAATTAACTGTGAGTCTTTCTCACAGCAATAGATGACAGCATTCTGTAACACAGAAAAAGATACATGTTTTTGTGAAGTGAAATTTCAACAACTGTCCCTTTTAATAAATAATCTACTTCCTGCCCTTTATATACTTAGTTGTAAAGGGATCTGTTTTAAATGCCTAGGCTGGAAACAGAGGACTATGTTGGTATGTTTCACTGACCAAATTTAAGGAGACATTCAACTTTTTGAATAAACAAGGCTTCTTTTGAGATTTTTTTGTGATCTTATGTGTATGTTGTCATGTTTGTTGATGGAAATTGCAGCCTGGTAGAATGACACTACTTTTTTTCTCTCCTAGTGAATCCTATGAAAGGTAGATTTTTCTAACCCAGTAAAGAATGATCACAGACAGATGCTAATGTGCAATTCAGCAGCACAAATATTGATTAGAAATTTTTGCTTGCTTTTCTTACTCCACTCTGTATTTTGGGCAGATGGATGCTGGCTGTTGCTTGGCAGGTTAGAGATTAGAGCAGCAGGGTGAGGCAGGTGTGACAGGTGTGCTGGCTGAGCAGTGTGGGGACTCCTGTGTATCTTCCCCTTTTACACTTGGTTCTTTCAGTGTGGGCTGTTTGCTGTATGAAAGATGGTACATTTGCAGAGAGCTGTTCAAAAGGGAGATGGGGACCATAGAATGGAGTGCATAGGAACTGGGGATTCCTCAGGTCTTGGCTCAGAAGGTCAGTTTCAAATAAAGAAAGTAATATATAATTTTTAAATAATGTCTCGGACAAAAGAGATCTATAGAGTCCTATTTTATGAGTTACTTACTGTTCAGGCTTTATATTTGTGTTTGTTTCTACGATCTTGGTGCTTGTATTTGGCTGTTTACGATATAGCTTTTCAAAGATGATTGAACTCACTTTCTCATGCAGATGCTTGCATATTTGTAATGGCCTTCTCTGAAATAGAATCTCCATTAGGTCTGCGAGGTAACACAATTGTGTGGGTGCGCCATGAAACATCAAAAACTGCAGACTCCTGCATTATTAGCTGTCCTTTTTAGAAAAAATAAAAGGAGTATGCTTAATGTCAGGGGGCAAAGAGAAAGCATTTTTTGAAGGACACACGTGGGGCTTGGTGTGTTGCCAGTCTGTCTGTGCGTAGGTGTAAAACTGAGAATAGATTACAGCAGGGTGATTTGTGGTGCCTGTTACTTTCTCTACTCACAGTACCTGCAGAGATCCCGATGGGTATCAGTGTCTGCCTCCTCTAGTATGTAAACCCTGTTTGTTAACCAAGTCTAGTTGCACTGGGTTGTAGCATCTTTTGGGGTATATTGCAACAGTTTGTTTGGAACATGAGAAGCTCTTGAGGTGTTTGGAAAACTTTCTTGGAATGAAGGGTGGTAAAATGCTGGAAGAACCAGAGAGGTTGGGAAATCTGTGTCCTTGGAGGTGTTCAAGACTCAGCTGGATGAGGCCCTGAGTAGTCTGATCTAATTATCTTGCTTTCAGCGGAAGGTCAGAGTACGTGTCTTCTGAAAGTCCTTTTTTAAGTTACTCTCATTCTGTGGTATTTTTAGCTTTTATTCCTCAAAGTTCTACCAGAGTGAAATGTAGCTCTCTCTTTTGGGCGTTGTGTATGGATGGTTGTAGTTTCACGTGCTGAGTATTTGTCTAACCAAGAGATCTGAAGAGTTTGGCACTTAATACTGTCTTAATGCTACCACTACTCCATATTAAATTATCTGGTGCATTTCTTTTGACACTTGTGTAACACCATAAAAGCTGAAATGTCACCAAAGAGTTGTATGGTGGAAAACAGCATAATGAAGGGTGAAACTATCTATATTTCTGTTCTATAAATGTATTTGAAATGTCTCCTAAATCAGAACTGTCTCTGATTTAATTAGCTTGGCATTCCATAAGTCAGTTTGACTCTTGCTTGAATAGCTAGATGCAGCTTGAGAGGGATGAAGTGGAATTCTTCTGGAAAGTAGCCCTGTTCAGAGGGAGGTGTGGTAAAATTACTGTTCCCAAAGCAGCCAGAGTATTAGTGAAAAATATGCTGGATGGGAAGAGAAGAAGAAATGTCCCAGTTTCCCACAAGCTGTATGCAAAACTGTCACACTTGAGTACATTAGATGGTGACACAAGAGAGGGTGATATGAGGGGTGACACCTGGAGTGGTACTCCAGTGGAATCTTGGCTGGGACCCCTTTACAGGGTGAGGCAGGTGAGACATGAGCACACGCATTCATGTCTGGCTCCTCTGGTCTTCCCTCACTCTTGGACCTGAAAGATATTCACTGGAATAGTTAAAGAGACTTCTGGAGAGGCAAAACTAAGCTTAAGGAGGAGAAGGAAATACATCACACAAGGTATACTGAAGTAGAATGAAGGGCAAGGAGAACTGGATGATTTTGAATTACGGGGAGCAAAGGTAGGCAAATGTGCTAAAGGGAAGAAGAGGCAGTAATCTCAACAGAGAATGAAGTTGAGGCAAACGAGATGGACAGGCATATTTAAGGCCTTCAAGAACCTACCTACAAAAAAGACTGCTTTAGATGTCATGTAACAGGTCAATAGCACGTGCCACAAGCAATTTAGTGTATAAGTATTTATCGTGTTCCTCAGTTTTCAACTGGCTTGGCAGGCAGCTGTCACCACTCCAGCCACTAGGTCTGGGGATTTGGCTGCTGTATGGGAACCATGTATGTATTCATGTATGGGGTTTGGGTTGCATATATACCCACATATTTAATTTTACATTGTTTTCTGAACTATTTAATTTACTGGAAAACAAGTACAGCTGGAAATAGCAAATGTCCTTGCAGAGGCAAATTGCTGTTATGACTTCAGATGGACACTGCTGCAAGTGTTTAAATGATCTAAAAATAACGTCATGTAGCCCAAGAGACATTATATGTGAGCTGATGCTTCTTCATGAATCATTTCCTGCTGAAAGTGTTATGCAAACCTAAGTGCTAGAGGGCGTGTATGTATGTGATTATATATAAATGAAGAGCGGCCATGCTTTTTTCCATGGTTCATTATGTGCCTGTGCTGGTTCAGAGTATGAATGTGGTGATCAGTATTCTGCCTTTAAACAATGCTCAGATTTAGGTATGGGCTATTGGAAATGGTAATGTTCTTCTGGGATTGTATTCTGAGATAAATTTTCCCTTGAGGTTGGCTGTGAGAATATGTGGCCTACTTTAAAAACTCCTTGAACAGCAGAACTAGTTGCTGCTCTGAATTGTGTTTTAAAATGTAATATTTTAACAATTATTTAAATGAAAAAAGTCACCAAAATGAAACAAACCACTAGATGGATACATGTCTCACAAAGGCTGTTTATGTGCAGCTACGTAAGGAATTACTTTAGGTATCAGCGTTGACGATTTTATTGCTGGCTTTATCACCTGTGTCATGTGGTTTATACACAGCAGAAAAGGACTGTATCTCAGTGGCCAAATCTTCAACTGGTTTCTGTCCTAAAATTAATTCATTGCTTTGTATTTGAAAGCTTGCAATGCAAAATTCTGCTGTGATTTGAGGATCAGTTCTAGGATAGGAATCGTATGATAAAGACCTCTAAGACACATACACACTCTGGCTCAAATTTTAGCTATGAAACATGGGATTCAGTTTTCATCTTTGCAGGTATTTTGTTGCTGACTTTTGTATTGTATCTCCAATGACAGACTTCTGGCTTTCTCTTTCCTAGGCTCGGATTATTCCTCAGTGGGATGGTTACCTGGTACTGAATCCCTGTGGCAGTCCTCAACAATTTCATCAAGCAGTCAAAACAATCCTGTGAGAAGACACAGCATAGCTTCTGACAGCGGGGACACTGGGATTGGTACCTCCTGTTCTGACAGTGTGGAAGGTGAGTTAACACTGCTAAGTTCTGTGTGTTTCTGAGAGAGAAACAGTCCAAAACGCTTTAAAGATGTTTTTCACAAGCTAACCGTACTTTTGCAAAGCTGTTGAGCACGTGCAGTTTTTTCCTTGCTGGAGCCAAGTAATTGTTTTGGTAAGGGTTGATTAATTTAGTTCTGGATGAGTTGTGTGCATTAACTTGCATCTCTGCCACAAAAGGGGTGTTTGTGTTACATGTTTTGATAATTGCAGTTGCAAGAAGTGCCAGATTTATACAGAGAAGTAATATCCTGTACTACAGCATTTGATAAACAAGTGGGGAAAAAGCAGAAACTTTCGAGGGAGTTGATAAAAGGACAATGCTTTCTGGTATTCGTTGTGTGTGTCACATAGTGTGTGTCAGCAAAGAAAGTTTGCTCATCTTGCCGTGAGGAAAGCCTGTTGTCTCTTCTCATCTCCACTGCTGGTGGGAAGGAATTCATGTTTTATTGCATGGAATTTGACACATAGTTAACGATCTCTGAGAAGAATCAACAGTATCTAAAGATTGTCAGAATTTTGTTTGGATTAAATCATGATTAGTCAAAGGTGATCTTATCAGGGAGGGGTACAGCCTCTACAGTGGCAGTGTTTCCATAACATTGTCACCCTCCCTGTACAACCTGTCACTGGAATTAAGCTGGAATGAGAGAGATGTAGTGAGACTTGAGGTTTTCTTCTTGCATTGACTTATTTCCCAGTAAGATTTTTGAGACAGACAATGAATGACAGCAGGATTGTGATATACTTTTCTGCAGCAGCTTTCTGTGCCTGATAAATTCTGCAAAAGGGGTAGCTGGAATGAGGAAGAACAGGAAGAATTAGTAGAAATTAAGTAAGGAATGCTGAATCGGTGTAAGACAGAAGGCTCTGTGGAGGGCTGAGCATTCCTGAGGAGAGGTCCAAATGCCTCAGTTAAGTCTGTCAGGCCTCTTTTGCACATAAGAAAATCCTTCCCACCCTCTTTCAGTTGCATCTGTCAGCTCATAACTTGCTTTCTGCTTCCTTTCATTCGTAAACAGTTGTTGGCTTTGGCAAAATAAATGTTTTGCTCAAATATTCAAGTTCTTGGGTGTAAAACTGAAATAATAAATGGGTATTAATGCAGAAGTTTTTTTGTATTTTTCCCCCAGAGATGTAGGGGGAGTGAAGTACTCTCATGGTGTGTATTTATTTATAGCTTTAATCACTCCCAGCCAAATGCTGCACAATAGTATTTTAAGATGCAGCATTTGAATTAAAACCATACCTTCCCCTCCCCCCTCTTAAGGGCTTCCCCATTTGAGGGGTGGGATGAAGGAGAGGAAATGAAACAGCAGTTCGTCATCAGATGTTCTGTTCTCCTCTGTAGGCAAGAGAATAATCTGTTCAGGGCTGGATGGGGGGAGAATAAAATAAAGAGGGGAAAGGTTGCCACAACAGATAGTTCATGAGGTTTGTCTTTGGTGATGCTTTACAGTTCTACTGCAGTTGGTCAGTTCTACTGCATCCTTTATGTTTCACATTTCCTACCACCTTATTTGAAAAACTTTTAAGTAGCAGAATAAAAAGTGTTAAAGAAAAAAGGCGGGAAATGTAATGGTGAAATGAAGATTAATGGAGGAATCATATGACAGGCCTGGAAATTGATTGTATATGTATATTTTTAGAGGAAGGGGTTGATGCCTATGATACCTAGTTGTCTGCATCTCTCAAGCTGTCCCCTGCACACATCCACAAAAAGAAAAGAGTATCATTGTCATCTGTGGGACTGTCAGGCCAGGCTGGTAATTGCAGACTTGATGCTGGCCATCTGCTGCTGATGTGGTGCTGGGCAAGAAGCTCCTGGGGCTTTGTCAGAGGGGAATTTTTTTCACAAGTTGGCAGATTATTACAGTTTTTAACAATGCTCAGATAACGAATTGTGGCCTTGCGATTTCCTTTCTGTTACACCCACTAAAAATAAGAACCTTAATTTCAGAATTAACATTAACATCTCCTTTAATTCTGAAGGTTGCACCTGAGTTTGTTTCTACAGGTATATATAGTTGCTAATAAATACACTCATGCAGGGAATGCACTGCATGAGTGCATTTAAAATATATTTGTAATGGGATTTTTTTATAGTCTCTTAAATGTTCTTTCAGATTCATCTTTTTATTCATACTTATTTCAGGAACATTCATTCTCTTTGAAAACGCAGGGTTTAAAAAAAAGATGAGTACCTCTTGTGTTTGGCTCAAACCTGTGTGATTTGGAGGGGAGATGGGTTTTGACATAGACAGGAGAAAGAAACCTTTAATGTTAAAATGTATTCAGTTGATTGTATATTATGTTGTGCAAGGGTAGGAAGATTAGGAAATGAAATAGGCAGTGGAGTTGAAATTGCATGATGTTGATGTGGGATCTGAGGACCGAAATTTATAAACCTTAAATGTGGGGATGTTGTTATTTGGGTGGATCTGACACTTTTAATTGAGTGCTCTACATTTAAAGATCAAAAGGCATTTTATATCTGTTTAAACTACAGTTATATCTGTTTAAACTAAGTTAATGTGTTTAGGGTTTTTTATTTGTTTTCTGTCAGTTTGTGTCCTTTTGCATTTCATTTTTAACAACTGTTGTGATACCTGTGTATAACCATTCTTTTAGTAGCACTTGCAGAAGAAATACGAAGTTTATATTTTAAGTGTTTTTGAGACGGTTTTTATTTGGGTTACCTAATTAGAGAATCAGGGACTTGGCAGAAATAATGGTCTCTAAATGGTCTCTAAACCCCAGCAGAGCTCTTTCTCTTGTGCACATTCCAGGTTTTGCCTTTTAGAACAGGAGGGATAAGAACTAGATATTAATGTGGTGAGATACAGGGCCCATGATTATTGCAGACCAGAACATTTTCCTTCATCAGATAAGCTTGTTGTGCTGTGGAAAGTCCCCAGATCTTTCTCCCTTATTGTTACATGCAATTCATTTAATTTAATTTAATATTTCTGGATGCAGACTAATAGTGTGAAAATTCATAAATGTTGCTTTCCTGGAAGAAAGAGATTGGATGCAGAGAATCAGAGCGACTACCTTTTTAGGAGTTGATGCTCTGCCAGTTTAACTTTAATAAACCCCCTTTTCTAATAACCTTCCAACAGCTTCTCTGGAATGCTTAGCTGATAGAATAGGAACTTGGTTTGATGTTATGAGATCCAGAGGTCTATCATTGTCTATCATTTTTAAGGGAATATATTATCTTTTTAAGGATTTAAAAAAACCCTAATTACTTCAATTGAATTGTAGCATTTCTTTATATGCCAAGGAACATGGAAAACCAGAATCAGTTACTTGGTTTTGCTCTTCCAAGCACTCTTTCTTCCAGCAGGTCCCAAGCATGGTATTCTAGTGCTTTCTTTTTTTTTTTTTTTTTTTTTTCATTAAGGAGAAAAAGGAAAGTTAATAGATATAATTATTCAATATAGTGAAGGGCAGAAGTGAATTTCAGGAAACAAAATTTAATTATGAAGTATCTTGAGGGAAGTTTTCTTCTGCTGCTAAAGATAATAGAATTGACAATGCGTAGGTGAAACCTGTAGATTGTGCTATCAGTTTGGTATCACAAAAGTGCAATAACACAAGGATCCTAGATCTTGATTGCTGGCAATGCTCACTGTCTACTGTGTTCTGTTTTGGAAGATGATGGATTTTCAGAGAAGTTCCTGATTTTAATTGAATTGAGGTTAATCTCTATGCCCTTGGATCCTGGCAAATACTGGCATATGTTTGGTGAAGTAGCTTGATTATTTGGAGGGTAGAAAATAATCATGTTTGAGGCATTTTTCCTTGTTTCCTTCCTTTCTGCTTGCCAAGTCTCACATTATAAAGTGGTGTCCAGCCCTCTGTGAGTCAGAGTTATTGTGTTACTTGGATATTATCTACCCTGACAATCAGACATGTGCACTGCACTTAAGCCTGTATTAGTCTCTAGTCCTTCTAAGTGGTATTGCCATGGCTTTCTAGAATAAAGTGTCTGTATGGCTGATGGGAGTATAAAGATTCATGCTCAGAGTTTGGCTGGTTTTTTTTGGGGGGGTTTTAGGATTAAAAAAAAATTAAAAGGTTATTTCAGATTCTGGTAGCCTATTCCCAGGATTTAACGAATAGGAAAAAATTATGCTAATAATTTTCCACTAAAATAAGATGGAGAAACTGCTTTAAGTAACAGTGACATGTGAACTTGTGTACTCTAAATTTGAAACTGGCGTGAATTAAACTAAAGGCACTTTCTAGTTTCATACATGGATCTTCTGCAGAGAGAAATAACTGCTGTTTTAACCTCATACTTTGCCTTCTTTTGTGACAGTTTCTCTATAGGAACAAGCTCTCACAGTATGCTCAGTTTTCCTCGCATAAAAAATACCAGCAGGACTTTTTTCTGGCTAGTGGGAGTGTTCTGCACAATGAACTTGGAGCATTTAGCCTTCAGCTAACATCAGTAGTTGTTTCTCAGAAAAATTATTTCTGCTGTTCTTATTGGAAATAACTCGATGAGAATAAGGTCTGCTTACTTAGAATTTAGTGGCATTCTCTTGGTTTCCATGCAAAAAGTTATTTCTGTCATATGATGTATTTCAGAGCTATGTCACTGAGTTGTACCAGAATGTTTAAATGGTGAGATGGGGGAGAGGATGAGAAGGGCAAAAAACCAAGGAGAAACTCCCAAAGTTCAGGTTTGAGAAGAAAACAGTTTAATAATGAAAGAAAAAGTGAGTGAACATTGTGATGTAAATGCACCACCAGGAGACTGATGCCCAGCCAGTCTCTGAGCAGCAAATACTTTGGAAGAAGCCTGCCCCTCAGTTTCATTGCTGAGCATGACATTATATGGGATGGAATCTCTTTGGTATTTCAGGTCAGCTGTCCCAGCTGTGTCCTCTCCCAGCCTCTTGTGCACCCCTCACCGGGGTGGCAGAGGCCGTGGTGCTGTGTCAGTGTTCTCAGAAA